GCTCCAGGCTGCAGGGAGGTTTCCTCTGTGTCCCTGGCCGGTGCGGGGTGCTGGAAGCCTGGCTTCGCTCCGCTGTCCTGGTCAGGACGGGCGCATGAGGTGGGTCTGGGATGAAGCTGGGGAGCGTGAGGTGCGTGCGAGGGTGTTGGGACCAGCTGTAGGTGAACAAGGGGGCTGGGCTCACAGCACAGGGGCTGGATTTCCTGGGCTGCTGCAGATCACAGGGCCGCTTGGATAGCATGTGTTTTCCATCCCGGAAATCAGCACCAGGTTTTCCTAACCTTCATGGCAACGCTTCCGACCTGAGGACCCAGCGTGTTCTGGAAAGGGAACTCCTTTTTTTCCACCACTGAGATGGCACCAGCCTTGTCTGCGAGGAAGGCAGCAGCCTCCATTCCTGCAGGGGAGAGGCATGCCCAAGGTAAGCCTGCTGCAAGCACGAGCCTGCACCCTCCTCCTTGGAAACCTTTTCCCCTTCCAGGTGAGGAGAACAAACCTGATGTAGTGCCAGCGTTTAACTGCTTTTCTGTGCAATTCTGGGCTGAGGTATTTAGCCCCCCCCTTCTTCATTCTCATGCACTACGCACCCAGATATCAGGGAACACAAAGAACAGCTGCTGGTTGTGTACAAAATAGTTCCTTTTCTGTGCTTTACCCCCTCACTTTCCCAACGTTTCTGGGGAACTCTGGAAGGGAACTCTGCCCAGTGCTCCTCGGAAGGACAGTGACCTTTATCGTAAGGCACATTTCCCTTTCTCCATGTCCAGGAACTGTTTATAGCTCTCAGATTTTCTGGCTTTCAGAGGAAAGTGTGAGTGCGTGCTGTGTAACGCACACCCCCACCAGCGCTGGGGAGGAATCCAGCCTGGCAGTGAATGAACATCCCTCCCCTGAGGGTCTCGAGTTAGTCTGCACACGCAGCAGAAGTGGGTTTCAAGGCTATCACTGATGGCTCGATACCCGCTCCAGCCTGGTACCTACGAATGAAGCTCCTACAATCACCAGATTCTTCCCAGTTGCCAGCTCTAAGATCTTCCTGGAGCCTTCTGGGGTTTGGAGGATGCACACGTTCTGCAGGTCTGCACCTGGGACTTTGAGGGGGCTGGAGCTGAAAGAGAGAGAAGCCAGGTATGTCTCATGATCGGAAATGGAACGGAAAGAATGAAGGGGGGAGCACAAACCCATGCAATCTCTTGGTTGTGTCATCCATCCTGTCCTTTTACCTCATCTCCCCCTCACAGGTCTCTAGAAGACCTCCAAACCCTCTTGTCCTGCCTCAGATTCTGTGTGTGGCAAATGCTTTGTGCACTCACTGGCTGCCTGTCGCAATCAGCAGCTGATTGTACTTCTGAGAGGACCCGTCCATGAAGCGGACCTTCTGTTTCTGGAAGTCTACTGACACTGCCTGCAGGAGAAAAAGAGGCAAAGATCAGACAGGTACCTGCTGTCGTCCTGCCACATCAACCCCTTCTGCTTGCCTGTGACTGCGTGCCCTATTTCTGGACACCCAGGTGAGATGAGGGATGCTGGAGTCCTCTCTCTCACTTCCTACAGCCCCTAGACTTGAGGAGCACTGAGTATGACTGCACAAAATCTGGGTCCCTCTGAAGGGTGTGCAGGTGGCTTCTTTCAAGGGTCACCCTTGAAATGTGTCCGTGGGTAGCACAGAGCAGTGTTACCCCCAAGGCCTGCACACCATCCCTAGCACCGGCCTTGGGGTGCTGTCCCAGAAGGTAAAGGGTGTATTTCGGCAGAGCCCTAATTTCTATAAACGTGGAACTGTGACTGCAGGTACGGGCATCCCCTCCCCATGGCAGGGACAGGACCGCCCCCCGAGGACTGAGCTCAGCTGCTCTTGTACCTCTTTCTCTGTCCAGACCTCTATGCCACGAGCATCGAGGAATTCGGGTTTCCTCAGGTAGACATCCTCAGCTTTCAAGTCCATTTCCTGGAAACGAAACAGAAATATGAAATAAGGCACTTGCAGCCAGCAATGCTCTCGCAGTGTTCTCTGGGAAGTAGGTTTGCATAAGAGGTACAGTTTGCATTAGTAAGTCACAGCTCCCCACAGTGCCCCATCCCCACCGTCTTCGTGTCCTCACTTGAAAAAATGCATCAACTCAAACTCTGATGGGAAGAACTCGGTGAGAAGGGGATAAACCCATTAACTAATGGTGGACTCTGATCAAAAACTTCCTGCGGGGAAGAAGGGACATGTCAGCTGGAAATGATCCCCCTTTTCCTTGTGGGTGCCTCAGCACTGCCGGAAAGGCTCGCTCGCTTGCCCAGTCTGGTCCTGAGTGTGGGCCACGTCCCTAATTCACGTGGGGCACCCAGGCACGGTCCTGCCCTTCCCACGTACAAACCTTGCTCAGTTTGGACTTGTCATACGGAACATGCTTCTCCTTGGTGGCCACGATGATCCTGCCAGTAAAGCCCTCTTGGCGAAGGGTCTCTGCGCACACCAGGGCAGCCACACCTACAAGAGATGCTCGTCTCACCCCTCTAAATGTCACTGGGCAAGTCCTGGAGAAGAGAGTGGCAGCTCACAGCATCTGCGGGGGGGCACAGTACAGACTGCTTCACTGACCTCCCCCTACAAGCAGCATCGTGTCCCGGTTGAGAAGGCATCGCCTGCTTGTGTCCTTCACTCTCAGGCTGCTTTCAAGATCCTAGAAAAAAGCGAGAAACGCTGAAATCATGCCTAGCCCAAGGTGCTGCCTGTGCTTAGTGACGGCAGGTAAGGTCAGTACCTTCTTTTTTCCTGTAACAAACACCTTTCCGTCTTCCACCGTTACCTGCAGGGTTGAAAGGGGAGTGCGTTAAAGTGCTGCGTTCAGGAGGTTGTGGTAGGAGCTTTCCTGGGACGGTCTGCTCTGGTATACCCAGAGTGACTTGTAGGGATCTTGGATGTCAAATGATGCTGAGGAGCTCATGAGCTTTTCTCCTCATCCCAAGGGCACTCAGGTAAATCCTTTTTCCTTTCCAAAAGAGCTGTGCTGGCTGCGATGCGTACCAGGATGTACCTGCATCACCTTTGACTGAAGGCAGCCTTAGGACAGGGAGTTACATGACCCCAAGAAATCATCCCATGGGTGACCTGGACCACAGAGCCATGGCCAGGGCAGGATCCTTTCAGTTGGTGTCAGGAACATGGAGTTTGTGGGAGTGAATGAATCCAAGTGGTGTGGATGTCATGGCCCAAGCTGTGGCTGCCCCATCCCTGGAAGTGTCCAAGGCCAGGCTGGATGAGGCTGGGAGCAACCTGATCTGGTGGAAGGTGTCCCTGCCCATGGCAGGGGGTGGCACTGAGGGGGCTTTAAGGTCCCTTCCAAGCTAAACCGCTCTGTGATTCTGTGATCCAAGCTGAGAGGAGGAAGGGACAAGAAGTCACCTTAAAGCAGGGAAGGCAATCCAGCGAAGGATACTCCTCAATGTCTCCGGTTTGGATGTTAAAGCAGGCGCCGTGCCAGGGGCAGCGCAGCCTCTCCCCTCTCAAGACCCCTGCAACAGAACAGCCCCCCACAGCCTTGCAGCCAGAGCTGACCCCCCTGGCATGGCTGCTCCCCTGCCCGGCACCAGGTCTACCTTTGCTGAGCGGGGCACCGTAGTGGGGGCACTTGCTGCCCAGAGCGCTGAACTCCTTCCTGTTCCTCACCAACAGCACCGGGTAGCCGGCCACCATCACCTCCCAGAGCCTGCAGGAGAGGTGGGTGTCCCAGGGAGGCTCGGCTCAGCGCCTCGCTGCCCCCTCAACCATCAACATGGCGTCTGTTGCCATCGTGATGCCACCCCTGTGGCCTGCGGGCCAGGCCTCGGACATCCCACCCCGCCGTCTACTCACTCTCCATCCCCAACGTCAGCCTCCTTGCAGACCTCGGCGGTTATGGTGTCATTGCCGTCCATGCCGGTGCCTGTGGGCGAGAAGAGGGAAGGGTTGGCCGCCATGGATGCTTGTAGGCGCTTTCGCCCCTCGGCAGACGGTCCTCCCCGTGCGCCCTTGTGCCGTCACTGCGAAATCCCACCCCAAAATATAGGGCCACCGCTGCCCCGGCTGGGAGCAGGATAACACCACATGCTCAACGGGGTCCCAAACTCCTGTTACTGCAGGCAAAACCCCCACAATTGGCAGAAAACACACATTTCCCCACTTTTTCAACTTTGCTTCCAAGCCCAAAGCCCATTTCTCTGCCCTTTTCTCCTCCAGCTTAACCCGTTTTTCTGTGTTCAGCCCCGCGTCCCATTAAACTCAAGCGCAGCACAGGGTGAGTGAGCAAACGTGTCTTGCGACAGTCAGGTTGCACATAAATGCAATTATTTATGGTGAGGTGCTGCCACCGTAGCCTGTGGTTCCCCCAGATCAGGGTCTGAAGAGCCTCTTCAGCCTCTCCAAAACCTCTCCAACATTTGTGAAGAGGTTTTATTTGCATTAATTGCCATGAAAGCAGTAATTCCTTCTCAAAACGCCTCCTGGGCTGAAAAAGAGCCAAAAACCCTGGTCCTTAGTGCTGTCCCTGCCTTGGCAACCAGCTGAGAGGCTGGTCAGAATTATCTGGTTTGGAGGAAAAAAAGCAAGAAATGGAGCAGAGAAGGGTCATTCGAAGCAGGTTTTGGTGCAGGGTGGTGACTCGCCCCTGCAAATCCCCAACACACTGCTGCCCCACCCCCAGGTCCCTTAGGAGAAGCGTTGGTGGGTACTCACCCGGTTCTGCCATGGGGGTCTCCAGCACCCGTCCACCGAGTAGGAAAGCCGCCACCGTCCCCGAGTTTCTCCTCCACAGAGGTGACACCCCCGCGTGCTATCGCAAGCGCTCTCCCTGCCGCCAGCCCACGGCTGGGTGATGCTCGCCCCGAGTTGCACAACGTCCCTCTCCATCAGGAGACGCAGCTCCTGGAAGCAGCCGCTTGCCAGCGGAGCCTTATCTGATTTTTTTGCAACTGGTCTGTGCCTGATTAGCTGCATTTAGCTCAGTTTAGAATTGCAAAAGAATTGAGGGCAGGTAGGAATTATGGGGCAGGTGTGGCCCAAAGACTGGGCACATTGTGTGCAGTGTGAACAGACACTTGAGTGGAAGCAGCCGTACCCCACTGCAGCATCCCATTGCCCCCTTTCTCGACGGAAAGTGCTCTAGCTCAGTGCAACGTGCATTTGCAGCACTTGGGAATGATATTCCTACTTTTTACATGTTTCTATAATATTTTAAATTATTTAATTTGGGCTTTTCATAAGAAACAGCCTCTCTCTCCATTGATTTTTAAGGAACGTGAAGTGTTTGGCACCTCTGCACGTGCCTTACATCCCAGTTCTGCTCCTGCACAAGCCTGTTTCAGCCCAGCTATGTCCAGGCACACGATCTCGCTGTTTAGTCCAGGAAGGATAGCACAGAGCTGCTTACGGTACTATTTTTGCAACAGAGGGGGAGTTGCAAAAATAATGGGAGTAACGCCTACGCTGTTTGTATCTACTCCAGTTCTTATCTCTATATCACAGTCAATATGTTTCACAACCTTAAAATACGTCTCAAAATTTAGAGGGGGGAGGAAGTTACTAGCAGCGTGCTTCCATCATTTTCCTTGCAGAAGCGGAGCTTTGCAGGGACCATAGCACAGCATCTTCCCAAATCCAGTGCGGGGCAGGGATCAAAACCCGGTGGTGGGCACGGCCTGGAGAAGAGGGAACGCAGAGGGATGCTCGGTAAGTGCCAGGTGACTTATTTGCGAAGCCGCTCGCTTCATCAGACCCGCCAACCTGTGAGCACCCACCTTTCGGTGCCGGGGCGCTGCCGGGTAAGGAGCGCTCGTAGCCCACGGGCGATGCACGCCCATGATGGGTGCAGGTGCGAGGTATTTTCTCACAGAGCCAACGAGCAGCTTTTGGGCTCTGCCTTCCTGGCCAGGCGCCTGAGTGTGAAGCAATTTGCTGCCGAACGTCCCCGTTTAAACTCTGTAATTATTCCCCAGAAGCGTGTTCCCACGTGGAGAAGCAGCAGCCCTCGCGGAGGCATTCTCTGACTCAGCAGAAATGGCTGGAAAATGTTCGCTTACGGATGAAAGCTGCAATGTGCCGGCGAAGGGGCAGGTACGAAGGCGCGGAGCTGCGGGTGGCTTCGGGGGGAGGCAGATGGAAGCTGGTCCTGTACAGTGGCATTTACACTGCCTGGCTGAGCGGCTAATTCGGCTGCTGGATGCTGCTGGATGTACCGAGCACCCAGAGAAAGGCTTTTGTAAAATGCCAAGGGAGAAGGGTGAAGCGGAATCCCCATCTCTGGTGGTGACGGCCAAGGATAGAAAGTTGAAAAGGGCATTGGGTGCAGGAGGGAAGGTTTCGGTTAGCTGCAGGGATGATGCTTGTGCTTCTGCCTGAGCCTGGTCCAGCCTGATGATGTCCAGGCGATGATGTCTCTGAGTGCCAGCACCTACGAATGTGCAATATGCCCTCGAGGGATTCAGGCAATGGGGTGGTGTTGGAGGCAGATTTTTGAGAAGATGCTCCATAAGCAGCTTTTGGCCCTCTGTTAGGTAACCCAGAGCCGGACACCCAGAGTGGTTGAGACCTTTGCTTGTAGCACACAGCAGGACGTCACGTAGGAAGGAAGAGAGGCAAGGAAGCAGCGTCCTCAAACACGAACAGAGCCCAGGTAGGCATTGGAAATCCCTGACCAGACCTGCCGCCCACACTGGTGCTGACTCACACGAGCTGCTGAGCTGCCCTCATGTTTGATTAGGTATCTTTGCTCTTGCTGTGTCTCTCCAGTGTTGTCAGCACTCCAGAAAATTCGAGTTTGAGGGTGAAGATCCATGGGGGTAGCTCTTCTCCCTTCAAGTCCCTACTACCATCAGCCGGTGTGGCATGTTTCATCATGCTGTAGTGCACTGCATGGATGTATCCTTGTCCCACCCTTGCTTGCCCCCAGTTTGCTCAGATCAGGGTTCTTCCCCTGCCCTAGCAGACCTGCCAAATTTTAACCAGGCGTTACCCACAGAGTCAGATGTTATTGAAAACTGTTCAGGCGCAGGAAGAGGAAGCGAGGTGAAAACTGCAGCAGAGATAAAATGATTAATGGGACACCATGCTCAGAACAGCTTGGTTTGTGATATTAATAACAGGAGAATTCAGGAGGGAGCCTAACCTGATCCAAGCTGCGGAGCCAGCAGCAGCAGGAGACACAGTGCGGAAGCTCCTGTGCTTATATTCGGAATGCAGGAGGAATCGAGTGGGCTCAGCAACGTGGGACGCTGCACGGGGTGGGTTTAGGGGCTGTGGCATGCTTGTGCCTTGCAGAGCGCGTTCTGAACCTGTCTGAATTGCACAAAAGGCATGTGGACATCAATGCATCATGATGCAACCAGAGAACACCTACATATCCGTCAAAAATCACTTAAGACTGAGAATGCTGAACTAAACAGGGAAAAAAATGTTTATCCCACAAGAGAAGAAGACATGGAAAAGGAAATACTTAGTGAGAATTAATTTTCTTACAAAGAATAGTTATATGTGTTGTTTCACATTTTCTTCCTAAGCATTCCTGTCTGGCGACAGTGGGAGCTGGGATACAAGCTGGGCAGAGCCTGGCCCGTGTTTCACTGTTCACCACAAGGAAAGGAGGAACCTGAAACCCTACTAATAGCAGCAGGTAAACCATTCAGGCAAATTCGAAGCATGTGAGCTACTGAAAGCAGAGGAGAAATATGAGGAACTGCCCGTGCTGCTGTGCTTGTAGGGATTTTGCCCGTCATGGTTGTTTTTTTAATCCCACTGTGTACCTTTGCAACAGGAGTGAGAAGGAGAGAGCACATCCCTTGTGCAACCAAACCATGGCAGCCGGTCCAGCCCCAGCCCTTGGGAGACAGCTGAGCCCACAGCATCCTTAGGGATGCTGTGCGGTTGTCACTAGTTTCTCCAACAGATCCCTTGTGCCGAATCCTGAGGGGAAAGAAGAGACTTCCAGTCCTGGGAAAAAGGATGGTGGGCAAAAGCAAGAGCAACCAGCCATGGGGCTGTTAATCGTGTAGGCAAAGCAGGCTCGGCCTGGCTGGCTCTGGCTCTCAGGTGAGGGGGGGCATTTGCACGCCAGGCTGCAGAAGGCAGTGGGCTGGGGGGCTACAGCGGGCTGGGGGGCTGCACCCACCCAGTCAGGCAGCAGCTGGCAGCTGGCACCAGAGCATCCCAGTGCTGTGAAGCCTCCCAGGAGATATATTATTCAAGGAATGATCTCAGGAATGATGACCCACCTGGGCAGCAAACACCCGCAGGACTGGTCAAAACACAGGGGGAGGGAAGAGTCTTCCCCTCTTGAGGTCAAGCTTGCAAGGTGGTAAAAACTCCCTGTGCTGTCAGACCCTCCTCCTGCTCACTGCTCTAGCAGAGACTGATGTGCCTGTCTCCCGTGGCTACAGCGAGTATATCCCTAGTTCCACCTGGAGAATGTCCAGCTTCCAAATCAGGAAGGTGTTTCTGGCTGGAAGGGGTAGAAGCTCGAGCCTGCATTGCTTTCAGCTCTCTTCACAGCCACCTCTGCAATGCCTGGGCACGCTTTGCTGTACGTGGTGCGCGTTTGCACAGTAGATCCTTTCACAAGCGTGGAGGTACAGACTTTCTGAATGAAAATGTGGATATATAGAGTGAAACTTTCCCATATTGTCCTACTTCCTATGGCCTAGAAGATAGAGCGGTGGCATACTTCAGATAGGGATGAAGAGGATAATTAATTAAAGTTTGGAAGCCAAGCTGTTTGATTTGTTTTGAGATCTTGGATTCCTCAAACCCTTTTAGGTGTGAGCCAGGTCTGGCATTAGACAAGCAGATGGGCTCTGTGCCCCTCTCTGGCTGGAGAGAGGCAGATTAAGGGAATGAGGCTTTCCAAAACCAGGAGCATGACTTTTGCCAGGAGCACCGTGCCATGTCA